ATATGTAAAAATATGTATAAAATGCAGTAAACAGTATATATACTAAATATGGAATGATTTTGCAGAATAAATAAATCTTATTTCATCGCACACTAATGCCGAAAATCCAAATTTTACTGTTCCCTACGTTGCAATATATTAGACAATATTTGAGTAGAATTCTCACCATGTTTGACTGTATCATCTTCGTCTGAACTGAATTCTGCATTTAAAAGATTTGTTAAAGATGTTGATTTTTGAGTTAATAAAGGTAAATTTGTATCAATTCCCTCTTCGTGTTTTAAAGAATTACTTGAAGGAGAATTTTCTTGCAATTCCAAATTTTCAGCTTTTTTATATCTATTTGATAATATTTTTTGAATGGTGTGAATTAAAATTCCACCAAGGCACATTAACAATCCTATAAAATTAAGGCCACTCATTTGATCACCTTTCCACTCAACAGCCAAGATTAAGATGCATAACTCCTACAAAAATATTGAACTTTTTATAGACAATAGTATTATAAGTGTATACTACAATTATTTAGTAAATGATAAAATTATATAATCTCAATAATATGATATGTATTTTTACTTACCTTAATGATCCCAGTAATTGAAAGAGTGAGACTAGAAGTGTATGTAACAACTAAAAATTCCAAAACTTCCATATGGAAAGCTATAATAGCACTTCCAAGAATAGCAGTTGTAGTAATTGCAACAGACTGAACATCATTCCAATCAGTATTCATAAAGTTACTATAGAATTCAGATCCTAAAAAATAGTTTGTTTTTACTTTTTATCCTACATGCACACAAACAGAAAATTTTACCTTCAAACCACAACATCACTGGTACAATAGGCACTAACATCCATAATTGCATATAATACATCATGTCAATTGGATTTTTCATTCCAACATTAGATTTTTGCATGATCAATTGTGTCATAGTCCATCGAATACCACTTGAAAATGATGCTAAAAGACAGATTACAAATCCAAAAATGCCAAATTGTGTTGATTTATAGGTGAACATAAATAAGCCTCCTGATATCATTACTACAATGCATATTAATGACCAAGACTGTAACAAAATAATTTATTGTAATACATGTGCTATATTTAAAATATTTTTATAGAAAATCAATATTATTACCGTTTTCTCTAACTTTAAAATAAGGGCAAACCCAAGGATAAAAATAATAGTAGTTGATTTTGTCATAGTATACCTGAATAAAGATATAATTCATTACTATTAACATGAAAAAGTAAATATATTTTGTTTCAGTAATAATATAAAGTAATGAGTACATACAATGACATTGTAATTAATGAAATTGCCCAGTTTGATAGACCAACATCAAGGCCACTAGCTATACCAACTGGCATAATCATCCATATTATACTTTGTAAAGGAAGTTTTAATTGTTGTTGTTTTTTCCAACATGTTTTAATACATCTTATTAAAGCAGATAATAAAAACTTTACTAATAAATGACATATCACCACAACAAGAGGAAAATGAAATCCCTAAAAAATTAATGCATACTCAAAATAAAGTCAAACAATAACAGAATTTTTCATAAATTAAAAATTGTTTCACTTACATATGTGTTATAAAGCCATTGTACATAAAATGTTAGGCCAACAGATAAGACAAAATAACAAAGAATTAATGCAATTGTTTGCGAGGTTTTTTTCCACAGAGGTACTTTTTTCTTGGATACACTTGAAAACTCTTGAACATGTTGTAGAAAGTAATCTGATGTATCATCTGCATCTTTTGCAATTTGATATTTTATGTGTGACCTTGTCATATTTTAGAAGAAAACAATCTGTAAACACAAATTTATGATATCAAATAATATACATGAATATGGTATTATTAGAAAAAGGTAAAAATGTTATAATTTGCTTACTATATAATATAATTAAGCATAGTAAACAAATTAACAGATTATCTGTTAATATTTACAAAATATCCATATTATCAACTGTTTGTATTTTTCTTAGTTTAAATCAACATTTTTAATTAAAATGTGTGAACTATTGAAGTACCATGCAATATAGTAAAGTATTGTCGACTACTATAACCAATACATTACACGTACCATATAATACTTCTTTAAATACATAAAAAATAGCAATAAATTGTTATGTTTTTGACATTAGACATCTGGTATTATATTACACGTTTAAAAATAGAAACAGACGTACAATATTGATGATATAATCATTACAATCAGGTTGTAAATTTATGACATATTCAAATTACAAATAAGAACAATGAAATAAAATAAAATTAAAATACGTATCGGTATCACTTACTTCGATACAATATGAACGTGGAGCCATGTATAAACATAACCTAAAAATGACAAGAAAAAGATATAAATGTGGTATACCGCAATCTGATAAATATTGTCGCAGAAATTTTCTTATCATTTTTAAATTTACTGATATGGTAAGCTTAT